TTCTCTTTTTTTTCTTTTTTTTTTTTTTTTTTTTTTTTTTTTTTTTTTTTTTTTTTTTTTTTTTTTTTTTTTTTGTGTCACCCTTGTTTAAAAAAATTGTAAACAACAGGGAGAAAATAACCCCAAATTGTCATCACAAACTTGGAGGGAGCTTTGAAGGGAACTAGCAGCAGTCTGATATGTCTCTGCCTGTGTATGATGCTGCCAGGAAAACAAGTAGCTCTTAAGCAACAAGGAGACATCTTCATTGAATAAAGAGTCTCTGAACATGTCTTTATGGGCGTGCTCTAGATGAGGGATATCCCAGTTTTTCCAGTCTGAAGAAATAGGTGAAATGGAGCAGAAAGCCACTGGACAAGGTTTTTTTATGCCATACCTGTGTGCTTGGCTTTCCCTGTCTCTTCACTTGTGGACACAGAAGTGTTTGTACACTGTTAGGAATCCTCATATGGATAGAGCCGTGTGCTGTCATCTTTTCTGTGACCATCAACTGCTTTGTAGCTCAACTGTGTGAAATGCTGATTCATCATTACATATTTAGCTCTTAAAACAAGGAGGTGGTTGTCTGATCTGAACCCTTCATGCCTATGAGGCTTTCTGGATACCTACGGGACTTCCTGTGTGTTTTGCTGCGTGGCCAAATACGGGAATGAGATCTGTGCTTAGCACATGGATCTGTCAGCTTTGACAGGATGAATATCGAGTGAACACAGAGCTTCATTGGCTGCAACATCACTGAAGTCTGGAGTTGGACCTGTTTACATTAGTGGTTTAATTGCCCCTAAATTCTTAGCTGATGCACTGGTCTTGGGGCACTGTAGCAGGGCCATGCATGGCATGGCACAGTGGAGCTTTACTGTCTGTATAGGAATGATGGTTTATAGTGGGAAGTGCACCTTTATTTCATACAATGAATTACTTGGCTCCAAACATTATAAGGGGCAGGTTTTATATCGCTGAGTCTTAAGTGCCTTGCTACCACTGAGAACACGTGCCTACACCTCTCTCCTTTTTACTTTTCCTATAAATGAGCAAGAATGTGTCTTCTTCAGGAAGTTTAATCTGCATCTCCCTTTCTGAATTTTAGGTTTACGCCCTGTTAGGTGTAAATCTAGAGAAGACTAAATCCCTCTGGAGCAGAGAAATTACAGATTATAGTACAGCTTCCAAGTCTGTAATGCTAAAGCCAGAACATAGCACCACATTTATTAGATAGTCCTCACTTTTTACAAAGGAAGATGTTAGAGGAACTCATAACAAATGCAAGCTGAAAATCATTAATTTTTCCCATGTGGAAGCACTAGCCATTCTTGGCCGAAAATCTGACACTCTGTAGGTGAAATTATTTGGTTTTTTTACATGCTGCAGGAACACTTTCCCTCTCTTCTCTGTAAGATGAAATTCCACAGACTCTGTGAGATCCTAGAGTGTCCCAGGGTTTTTCTGAAGGAGGTAGTGTGTGTGGCTGGCCCCTGTCAGGAAACATTACTCTGTTGCATACTGGATTATCAATGCAGATCCTGCTGGAGGGTTTTTTATACCATGCCACGCTCCACAAGGAATCACATACAGGATTTTATCAGCGTTCTTGAACTGCTTGAGCCAGTCTGAAACTTAAGTGTGGTTTAAGCTTACCATGCCTCAAAAATTGGGAGTAGTAACAGTGTTGCTAACAAGTTCACTAAGCTGGTAAATTTTTTTCTTTTTTCTCTTCTTTTGAACCAAAACTTGTTTATTCTTATTTCAGTTGCTTGGGGAGGGGGACAAACAAACAAACAAACAAAAAAAACTCGACCAAATTTTAATTATTTTTCTTTTCTCTTGTGAAATGCAGGTCTACAACATCAGGACAAGGGCAAGGAAACTGCTTGGTTCTGAAGTGCAGAGAAATTAAGACCAGCTAGAGCTGGAGTCAGCACAGCTGGGCGGGCGATGCAGCAGTTGTTGACTCCTTCTGCGTGGAGCAGAGGACACACATGGAGATGAAGAGCCAACTATTCTGGTTTTGCTGTTGAGCCTTTTGTTTGTAAGGCCATTTATGGGTCCCACAGTGTTGGAAAAAAACCAGAAACCTAACTTCTCTTTCTTTCCTCATCTGAGCCTGCTGCAGCTGGGCAACCTAACTCCTTTCTGCTCCTTTAACAGTGTTTTGTTTTGTTCAGCTTGATATTTTTATGAACAGTCTCAATTGTCAGGAAAAAAACCTCTCCCTTGACTACAGTGCGCCTCCTTTCAGGAATACAGTATTTTGTAGCTCTTTGTGCATCTATTTTTGTAGAAATACAGAAAGTTTGGGTAAGGATTGATGGGCTATTTTAGGATGACATATTTTTTTAAAAAAAAATTGTAAAATTGTTAAGTTCTGTTTAAAGAACTTGCTCTCAGAGAAGCACTGGCAAAAATGTATAAAATGCTATTTTTAGATGTTTGTGACATGTTTGTGCATTTTGGTTTTTTTTGTTTGTTACCTCAAATGTCTATCTTTCCTTTCTTTATGAAGAGCTAAACCTCCCTTGTTTCCACATTACCAGATTCTGATGTTCTTGTCCTTTTGTTCTAGCTTAAGCAAGTATAATTCACACCTAAAGTTTCAGCCAAATATTTTTTCCTGATGTTAGATTGTAGCAAGGGTGTTCTTATTTTTCTTGCTTCTAAAGGTGGCTTTCTGCTGCGCTGACTGTCAGAAACTTGCAAACACCTTTAGCATAAAACAAAGCTTGAGGTTACAGGAACTGCATTTCCAACCCATCCATTCTTTCAAGATGGACCAAATACTCTTAGGGATTTAAGATATAAATTTAGGCCTCTTCTATGATCCATTGAAGCTGTTGAACGCAGTCCCCTGTGGGTTATGTTGCAGGCCTTCAAAGTGCTTATAAATATCAGTACAATCTTACAGGCAGGACTTTCAGATAAGCCATTTTGAGGGTGGTAACTTATAATGTCAGTATTCAGGGAAAAAAAAACAAAACCAAAAAACAAATTAAAAAAAAAAGCCAGGTTTATAAAAATGTGTGACTCGTGGAAACAAAGCGTTTTCGACTGGCCCGTGATCTGTGCGCTGAGCACCTCGAGGAAAGCGCTGAAATCTTCATCTCCTGTTGAGTTCAGGATGTGTTTGTCTAACCCAGGCTGTGCTGTGGGCCTTGCGAGACCCCAGCTGCAGCTCTCCGCTTTCGTAACCAGCTGCACGTGCTCGGCGTGCACGCATTGAGGCTTGGCTGCCATCGGGGTGAGAGTCTGGAAACTTGGAAAACAACGTGGCTGCATCCAACCACAGCCCTCTGCGGTGTGTTTTGGGAAACCCCCCTTTCTTGGGTCTGACTTGCATAAGAAAGGAGTTCAGCTGGAGCCAAGGTCAGCACGCTCCAATCCTGGGTAAGGGCTGCGGGATCGCCCTTGGCGGCCTCGGCGCTGCCTCCGTGCCCAACCCATGGGGAGTGTCAGGTGGGACCGGGGGGAGCCCGGGATCGGGTCCTGGGTTTCCAGATCCTGGCTACTGCTTGGAGATGTTGCCTTTCCCTTTGCACCCAGGGGCCCGCTGTAATATTTCCTGGGGCTCTTGCAACTCATTGTGTCTTGTTCCCGCTGTTTGCAGACATCCCTTTTTGGAAAGACACACCAGCTGAATGGAAAACCAAGACGCAATCGCATGGCTGAGATAAGAAACAGTTTAATTTCAAGGCACTGAGCGTTGTAAATGTAGTTTTGTCAGGTGGGGACCACATGGATCTGCGTGTGAAAGGGGAGGGGGAGTGTTGGGATGTGCATGCCACTCCAGGGTTTGGGGCTCCCTCCCTACACTGCAGCTTCTCTCCAGCCCTTTTGAACTCGATCCTGTGAGGTGTTGAGCATTCTCCCTTGTCACATGACAGAACTTGACATGCTGGCACCAGAGGCATTAGAATTGTATCAGAATTTGGCAATACCCTTATATATATATATATATATGTACATTTCTCATTTGAAGTTTGAGGCAACCTAAAAGTGCTGAAAGGACTATGCATAAATATTGCTTTAAAATAGAGGGGTTATAGTTTCTGTGTTGGGATGATGAATTAAATGTGTTGGGTTTTTTTTCCTCCTCTTTATAGTCCATCAGTATTTCTTTCTCTTAATAAATTTCACTCTCATGACAGTTCTATATATTACTGCTCCTCTGGTGGAGCTGGTTTCTCAGTTTGTCAATAAATTCATCATGCAATGGCAAAACTGTGTGGGAGGGAATGTAGTAATAGCTGTCACAGTTCACTGTCTTATCAGGACAGTATAGTTCAAGAAATGTTTCAAGAATAAGAGTTCTGACTTAAAAATTTTTACAGTATTAGAAATATTGGAAGAAGAAAAAAAATCCAAGGTTTTTTTTTTTTTTTTTTTTTTTCCTGGACTTGGCAAAGCTGGAAGGCAAAGGAACAATATGTCCTCATTGAACTTGAGGGATGGAGACTTTAGGTGGCAGGGGAGTACAAAAGAAAAAGCAACATTTCTTTTTGAGGTGTAGTGTGTTTTACGTCCTGAAATAGTTTAAAGTCTAGCAAGAGCGATCTGTTCATTGCCTTCCTCTTCACAAATTCATGCTATGAGGGACCTCTTCCAGTTCCCTATAGCTGTCAGAGCAAAATGGGACACAAAAAACCCAAGCCGAGAGTTAGCACTGGAATCTCTCTCTGGATTGTATTCTTGAGTTGTTGGTTAGTGGGGATAAATATGTGGTGGAGCTGTTGCATCTTCCACCTCAAGGACTGCTGTTCTGTGCCCAGTTTCCACTGCTGAACCTGTGAGTGAGCTGAAGGAACTTCTGTTGCTCTGCAGGCTCTGAGAGACAAGTGCCAATAAAACCTGCCATCGTCTGTAGTCATTCCTGTACCAGTCAGTTGACTCTGAAAGTTAAGTAAATTAATTTTTTTTTCCCATCAGTCACTAACTGTCCCTTTTACTAACAAGTGAGGTGCAAGTGCAAGTGTGTAGCAGTAGCCCTGTTTCTGTGTTCTACAACTTGGAGGATGGAAAAGGAAAAAAAAAATCTTTCCCTGTGAAAAACTGTTAAGTTAAATTCAGCAGATTTACTTCTCTCTCTCGCTTTCTCGTGCACACGCACTCTCACACACGCACAAATGTGCTTATGAGAAGCAGATGCTGTGATGGTTTTGTTGTTGAAAGAGGAGGGGAGCGCTCGCTCGCAACGTTGCAGTTGTGGAGAGTTGATGTCAGTGAGAAAGAAACAGAAATGTTAAAACTGCTCAGGTTTCTGCAGATAGGAAAAAAAAAGGCCCTTAAAATCAGGTCACAGATAAGTTACGTCTTAATGCGTTATTAAAGGAGTTCTTTTACGTGTGATGAGTTCTGATGCTGTCCCAAGAAAGTGGATGATTCATTTTGAGAGGACTTATAAAACATATTGTACTCTGTCACTATTTCTGGGAGAACTTAGGGAAATTATTGTTTTATTTCAAGAAAATCAACATACTTGACTCCTACAGTTGCCCAGGATTTTATTTATTCCTATTAATGTTGAGAAATCTGCCGTTAATTTTTGTGTCTTCATTTGAAGACTGGGAGGGTTCAAGCTGTCCACCACTTTTTGAAAAGCAGATACCAGTTTGTTTCAACAGCCCATTTCCGTCCCCACAAGATGATGGAATAGTGCAGCTACTGACTGCCCTGGAGATTTGATTTCTGAAAAGCTGAGCAAGCTGTGCTTGGCAGTGGTAAAATTCAGTGTGTTCTGATTCCTTTCCTCACCAGATGCAAAAGTTCAGTTATCGCTTTATCCAATGCCTCTTTAGTAGTGTGATGGTCTCCAGTGAATGGCAGTTTTTCCTCAGCCATCTACTTCTGCATCAAAACACGCTTTCAAGAATGGATCTCTCATCACAGCTCTCAGACAGAGAGCAGAGGTTGTGGGAGGGGAGTGTCACGTTTCCCCCCACCTGCACTTAGGATTGCCTTGCCTGCCCTCAGCCTTTCTGCTTCCAGGCAGGAAGACCTATGTCTTACTCCCATGATTTTTTATGTGTGTGTATATGTGTCTATACAAACTTTTCTGTATTTGTAAAAACAAAACCCCAACAAATACCCAACAAAAAAAAAACTCTTTAAAAACACCTGATTGGTTGTATCTGTAAAGATGACCGTGGAGACAGCAGAGTTATGTGGAGAGGTGCAATATTTTGCCTTTCAGCAGACAAGCATATCTTTGAATGTGATTCTTTTAATTAATTTCAGGTACAAGCTTTTCCTCCATATCAATGGACCAGCAACACATATTTCTTATAAACAACTCAGAAATATATATTATTTTTAAATTGACTTCTTGGTTTTACTATGTCAACCTTTGAGCCTTTAAGGGGTATTTGGACGATAAATGTTGTTTGTGGTGGGGATTTTTAAAAAAAAAAAAGTTGGTGCATGCTGTTTGGAACTGATAATCTCATGTAAAGTGGGAAGGTATTTAAAAATAAATTCTGCTTTTACATATTAGCCCTATGGGCACAATCTGACAGTTTTGATGCAGGACCATGTCCCTTTAGAAGCTAAGGAACTCTTGGCTGGAGCAAGTTGAAAATCCAGTCCGTGGGACAGGAGAGGCAGGAGTGGTCTTCTTGGAAAAGCTGAGCTGGTAGAGCTGAGAGCAGAGATGATCCTCTCCCAGCATTGTACGTAGGTGCTTGAGCACTCACTGCTCAACATATTAAATGTAGACTATCTTAGCAGATTTAAACTTATGGGGTGAACTGGTTGCCAAGGGGAATTGTAAATATCCCTGGATACGTGTGTTTTAGCTGCCCTTTGTCTGCACAGTCCCATGACCCTCTCCCTGTTCTTGCTCTGCAGTCTCTGTGACACCATAGTGGGACCTGTGAAAGCTGGGCTGGAGTTCCCTGTGAAGTGCAAGATGTTTTTAGCTACCAGTAAGGAAAGTTTAGGGATGGGGGCCGTTAAAACATCACAATGATCTCATGCACCTGCACGAAGGCTCAGGCCTTCGAGATAAATCAGCTCATTGGCTGTGCGTCATTGATCATGGCCATTTGCCTACAGGAGCCTGATTCTGCTTCCTCCTGTCGTCTTTGGAAATCTTCAGTGGCATTGGGATCACTGGGACCAGCCTTGGATGCCTAAATTGCAGCCCAGTGTTGGCTGGCACAGTGTGGTGGCCTGGGTCTGGTCCAGCATTGTCAGACATCAGTGGGAGTCAGTGTCGACTCTGGTGAGCTTTGGGCTCAGGTATTTAGTACCTACAGACAGCTGATGTTTATAGCAGTTGAGCTTTACAGTAATCTAAAGTATCTGCAGAATGTGCTGCACTTACCCTGCTAGCTGTTTGTAGCTGTTGTTTAAAACCATCAGTCAAATCAGGGTCCCTCTCTCCCCCACACCTGTTTTCCAGCCTTGCTTCCCTCAAAATTCCATTGAACTTTTTTTGCCCCTCTCATCACAACTGATGGGGAGGGGCTTTGTATAAAGAAAAGTGTCACTGTTTATTACTGAATAAATAATTTAATGTGAATTTTATTGTTATATTTTTTATGTGCAGTTTTTAGTTTGGTCTGTATTTCTCAACAATTAGCTATTTCTTTATTCTTATGCAACTGAAGAACTCATAAACTACGGCATCCTGAGTTTCTATTCTTTGCATGAGATTAACTTTTTTTTCTGTTGAAAACATTGTAAAACAAGTGTTCTGAACTGGTTCTGTACTAAAATTAAGCAGAGTGAAAGCCTAGCATTGAAAGA